GTATATCTGATTTTGTTTCCTGTACTGTCATATTTTACTTTAAAGTTTGGCTAATGCTTTATTATAAAGTTAGGAAATAGGGGAAGGGAGGGGGAATTTGGAGGTGATTATATTACCTTTCATACCTGATATCAGGTGGGATTTATGGGTTTTGTAATGTACACCAATAGTAATTTGTTGGGAAAAATGTTGGTGCATTTGCAAGGGGTTCTGGTTCTGGTGGCCGACCTCCTACGGACTCAAAAAGTGTAGGATAAAATAAACAAGAGGGGTAGAGATTGTGTCGATGATAGGAAAGGTCCACCACTGCAGTTTAAGGCGTGCAGCGTCAGTCATGATTGATTTTGTTTTGTATGGAAGTTCATTCTAATTTTTTGACGCACGATATAAGAAAATTCTTTTACCTTGGCAGATATTCTGAAGTGCTAAATTTGGATGTTAAATATGGAGGTGCATGCCCTTTTAAACATTTAAAAGTCAAAAGATTTAATAGTTCATTCCATCTTACATTTAGTTTTCTCCAATCAAGGGAACTAAAAATATAATCAGTAGAGGTCTTAATATCAACAAAAAGTAAAATCATACCAAACCTGTTCATAAGGACTAAAGACAATTAGTATGTTGGGTATTACAAGTTGACCAGACACAACAATAATCAAAAAGAGGAATTACTATTACATTAGCTAACATTTTAAGAGTATGTAAAGGAAGGTAGTTTTTAATATGAATGACACCAATACATTTTGAAATACTAGAAGACACTTAGTTGCTGAGGGCCCCAGATTTTCAAGGTATAGGAGTTGGTCATACATGCGTTCATGGAGTTTTTTTTCAACCGGTGATTGTATGATATGACTGATATGAATAATGTCAAGATTGTTGAAAATGACCCATTTTAATTTTTCATCTTTTGGTAGATCATTTTATGGAATTGCCCATTATTTTTGTTTGTAAGATAAGATTTTAATATGTAACAGACATATCCAAAATTATGGAAGGACTCAAGGCATCTTGTACACCTAGTCATTGGATAAATAATCAATCGATGGTTGTGTTTCTACTAAAATTCAAAATAGAAATGGTTCTTTGATCATTAGTTGTTTTTCGGATTAGCAAGATAAGAACTGCATTGCAAACTGCATTTTGACTCAACATGAAACAGTTACTGGCCTGATACCGTACATCCTACATAATACATTTACGTAAAAATTACCCAGAATGCAATTTCAAATGACGAAAGGATTTTTATAATACCGGTAAGAGCTTTTACAATGATAGTTTGAAACCACTACCAAGATACAAACAAACAATGATTATTCCTTCTTTCCGTATAATATTAATAATAGCCATGTCAGTATTAAAATAAATAAACTGTTGTTCTTCAAAATATTTTGAGTTCTAATATTTTGTTAATAATAATAATAATAATTTAATAATAATAGATGGATTTATATAGCGCAAATAAACGAGGTCTCTATGCATTGAGACTAGATGTTGCACTTTTCAATAACTTTCTCCTCCCCTGAGGGTCACTTCATGTCCTCTGCAGCCAGTAAACTGGCGCACTTTCATCTGTCCACGACAGGGGCTGAGTAAACCAGTACACTGGGGTAACCCCCTACTCATCTCAAAAGATGTACTGGGTTCTTTAAAGTGCATAGGAGCATTTGTGTACACTGTGTCTACGGTTTATAGTCCTTAACCGAGAAGGCTTGTTCCACCACCAGTACTATAGGAGCGAGCCGGTCGCGAACCTGTAGCGATATTTTTGGCTATGATCAGAGGTTTAACAATATAATGTTTTAGACTAGTCTGTCACTAAAAACTGGAGGAATAGGCTTGATATTTCTGATCATTATTGAAAATATATCTAAAGGTAAAATCATGTAAGAGGACAAAATTATTGAGATGAAGTCTAATAAAAATAATAACTCGCAAATCCATTTTTTCAACAGTTTTGCTAATAGTATTAGACATAAGCCTAGCTACTCTACTGGCTCAGTTGACCTCAGGCAAAATTAGGCCGTTATTTATGTCGCAATTAAAAACTACCCCATTTGTAGGTTAAATTTCTCATCAGTAGAAATAGGCTGTGCAACTTCCTCCACACCCTGTAGAGTATTCCTAGTTGTTGGTACCCACTTATACTCCGGAGTGAAGAGAGGATGTGTGTCTTACCTAAGGACACGAGCAGTGTGATGAGCATCGGTCTTGAAACCCCGACTTTCTGAATGGAAGCCAATTGGGGATCCAGAGATGTCCGAAAAGGGCGCTGAAAGTGAGGCCGATCGAGACAACACTACCCTAGGTGGTCTGGTGGCAGTCGTGCATGAAATTTCCCCCGTGAAATGTTTTTAACCTACATATAAAGTTTGTACTGACAAAATTTGGTGCTGTCCAGAGCATTAATTATAATGATAAATTTCATGCACGACCGCATCACCGACAGCCGGAGCATCACGTATGATTGATGTTATACACATTATCAATTACAATGTATGTTTCTAGTTCAATTTCTATAATGATTTGAAATAAATATTTTGTTTTGTAGGGTGGATGGACAGCATTAATATGTGCATCATTCACTGAAAATCCTCAAGTCGTTGATGTTTTGATTCAATGTGGTGCAAATCAAGATTTGAAAACCAATGTGAGTATATTTACTTGATTTGTTCTATTGAGATTCCACCAATTGCTTGATAGCACATGATGTCCGCGCTGTGTAAATCATTTGGTATGGCACAGCAGGAACGGTTTTGTTTCTCAACCTCAAGGTTTCAATCTCTCTCTGAGCATTTCGCTTTTGTCCTTTAGCAAGACACTTTATCTGCATGCTTCTCTCCACCTGGTACCTGGTACCTGGTTGGGTTGCCTGCTAATTCACTGATTACCAACAGCAACACTTAAACCAAGTGGACCCAATGACCAGGGTAAACATTGTGCTATATAACGTCAAGGAAGAGGCACATTAAAAATGCCTATACCATTACCAGTGATTACGATTGTAACATAAATTTATTAAACACATAATTTATACTTTAAAAAGATGCATTACAGATAACTATTTATCTGTAATGCAAAGGTGTTATTCTTTTCTAACTTATCTAAATTTTTCATTTTTTATTTTTTTTGGGGGGGGGGGGTGTTTAGTCTTAAATATGTAATATGTGTTTGAATTGGTAACCAGCAGAGTTCCCCCTTATGGACCCTTTAAATATTTTGGCTTTTATAAATTCATGGCTACAGCATCTGAACCAAAATGAATGGTATTTTAAGCAATCATCGTTATAATAATGTCCTTATTGTAAATCAGGGTTCTCACCAGGATGTTAGGAGTGGTAAAACCTTGAAATAATTAACAGCTTCAGTAGCACTAATATAATGATCTTTTAAATGTTGTCCTATGTTTAACTGTTTATGATTATAATCATTTCTTATTTAAAATAGAATTATTTAATCAATCAGTAACTTTTGTTTTTTTTAAATGAAATTAATTATTTTCTTTAAAAAGATTCTACCTAAGGCGAGACTGTTTTTATACCTTTTTGACGAACTCGCTGACTATTGTACATTTTACTGTACTGTATATATGTATTCCTACTAAAAAGTTTCTAATACAAATTTAACAGCGTCTTTTTTAATGCATGCAATGTTACTATTTTTTAAAAGTTGCTTTGTAAGTTACAGTATTCTATAATAAAAAAATTAAAATGTGACATGCCTGTCACAGTCTTGAGAGTGTCATTTCTGGCCATCCAGAGGTTCCAATTCTTTAAAGAAAATAGATATTTAATACTTGGACTTGTTTTCAATATATTTCGTGTTTTTTTCCATTTTAAAACATTTGTGCTCATTAGCAATTTAGATTAGCAAAGGTCTCACAATTTTTAAGCAAAAACAGAAATGAGAGATTAATTGCTGAACAAACATTTATTCATAAATTTGATAGTATCAATAGTGGCCTCAATATACCTTTGCTAATTATGTATGCATAGCTCTTTTCTATATTGTTTTCAATTTTTTGCTTCACACACCTGATGAAGCTGGCATTGACTGCCAGCGAAAGCTTGTGTTGAATAAATTACATCGAAGTTAGTCTCAGAGTGCTGCCTTTTATAATCTGTGTATAAAAATTTACATAACTATAAAATTACAAAAGAAAAAAAAGATACACAAGAAAGAAACAATTTAAAACAATCAAAAAATTATCGCAAAGCAAAAAAAAAAAAATTAAATTAACCCTTCATGAACCTTCCTTCAATCTGATAGCATGGAAGTAGCCATGCTACCTGAATGCTGTACGAGAAGGCTGAAATAATTACATTGAGATGTCTTATAGTCAAGTTTTAAGTTTTTTTGATTGGTTAAACACTTTTGGTACTAGTGCATATAAGCTTGCTAATATGGATAATTTTTTCATTCCTGATGATGACATCATTAATGTCGAAATATTGAATCCCAACACGATCTCGTGTATTTCAATACTTGGAGTATGTATTATACTTTCGTATCTTGGTTTCTCGCTTCAAATAAGATGGGGTTTTTTTGACAAGAAAAAAAAAAATTTTAACTCATAAAATCAGCAACCTTTATTAAAAAACTCTGAATTCTGGACTATCAAACATTGGTCCAATTCTAGACTTAACCTACCCATACAGTAGGAGGTTACAACATCCAAGATTTGCTGTGGTGAAACCCATATATATGGAAAAACAATGGAAAAACAAATGAGCATTTTTCAGTACTGGAAAGTCCTGGAAATTTATGATTGTCCTTGAATGTCCTGGAAATTTGATCATTTACCATTTATACAGTACTGCAGGTTGCCCAGTAACAGTAAATTAAATAAGAAACGTTCCCACGATCATACTCTTGTGAGAAGCAGGTTAAGTCTTTGTACGCCGCCAATTTAGGAATGTTATCGAAGAATGTCAAATGCTGAAAGTGGCCGACTGGTTGGCAGTGGTTCAGACAAACTTGTGCGATTGAGTAAATAGAGTTGTTTGCCCATCCTGTATATTTTAGTAAAGCGGTGCTTTGTTATCGTGTATATTAATTATGTTTGTATGTAATTTTAATTCAGACAATGATAATAATATACTTTGTTGATATTTGCTATGGTGTTTATTTGCTTTCTGTTGTGTGTTATAAACAGTAATTTTAAACTTAAAATTCAGTTCAATAGGTCTTGTCGCATGTGCTCAGCCCTGTGAGTTTCCATCACTCTCCAGACGTGTGCACTTGTTCTGCATGCACGAATATATATATGTTTGGCCCTATCCAGTGCAAGGCAGTTATTAACAATTAACCAGGGGTGGCACCAGCGAGGGGCTGGGGGGGCAGGGCCCCCTGTCGGGGAGAGCTGCTCTCCCCCTGTCAGGGAGAAAAAGCACAATTTGTCGGGGAGAAAAAAAAATTTATATGTATTTTCTACATATTATTATTAATAGACTCTAAAATCGATTAAATAAGCCTTTGAAACCCCTAAATTGTCAAAATTTTACCACTTTCGAAACCTTTTAATTGAAGCTCGACCATGCCCACTTTGCTTTTGTCGGAGAAATCTGATCCCTCGTCGGGGTAGGGACCTCAGCCCACCTGTCGCGCAAATCCTGACTCCACCCCAGCAATTAACGTAACCATGGGCAGGCCCGTATTTAGGGGGTTCGGGGGTCCGTCCGTCCCCAACGATTATTAATAAATAATACAGTAAATCATTAGTTTATACATTTATAAACACCTAAACATGAGGCATGTTGTGGCGAAATGGTTAAGTTGTCGCACAGTCCAGTATTGAGTAAATAAGCTTTAAAATATGGGAGCTCAAAAAATTGCTAAAAAATCCAAATTTGTTTTTCACTATAGATCAACAGTTTAATGTCTTATTAATCATGTCCCAAAGTATTAATTCTGGAAGTGGTTAACAAATTGTTTATTTAACATTATTTTTCATAGTTCATTCTATTAAACAATGTATGCACAAATAAAGGCAATTACTCAAAATCCTGTTTATCTTGACTCTAAGAGTACTGTACTTGCACTTTCCAAAATGAACTTGAAAAAAATGACTTGAAATGACCAATTTGAATGAATGACCCCTCATTTATGATTTTAAAGATCACATACTCAGGTATCTAAAAATACCAATAACTTGAATTTCAATTTTTGCTACAACTTAGCCATTTTGCCACTACATGTCTCATATGAAATAATATAATTTAACGTCTCCACAATGTACAACTTGAGACAGTTATCATTCGCTGATCAACAACTCTGGACACGTCTCAGAAAAACAGAATTTCCTACGAGCGTGAGAAAAGAGACAGATCAGTCGCCGCCGAATTAGCGTTAGATAAAACTTTACATACACTTAACTAACATGCATTTAAAATTAGTACAGCATACATGTTTTATAATCAATCGTAAAATCACCGATATTTTCCTCTAAAGCGATATAATGTGTCCTTGATATTTGAAAAAATTTACCTGGAATACCCTGGAATTGTCCTAGAAAATTTCTTTTTTTAAAACGTACGAACCCTGAATTAAAATTATATATACCGGTAGCTTATCAAGCTAGGCCTGTATAAATAATGATGCACTAATATTAAATGATAAAAATTGCAAATAAGTTAATTAATTAATTGATTAATTATAAATTAATACGCATAGGCCTACTACTGTATTACTAAAATAAGCACAGTAGAGGTGTCTTCATTTTATGTATTTTAAATGCCACTTTCATCGTCATCACAATCATCATCATTGTGGTTTATATTATTAATATCATTATTATTACTCTGTTTTGCCTTGAAACCCCGACTTTCTGAATGAAAGCCAAGGGGGATCCAGAGATGTCCGAAAAGGGCGCTGAAAATGGGGTCGATCGAGACAACACTACACTAGGGGGTCTGGTGGCATTCCCCATGAAATTTTCCCCTGTGAAATGTTTTTAACCTAGACGCCCAAAAATTTGTTTATCTTACTTTTCAAGATAGGGGGCCCCCACCCCAAATCAGCCCCTGAAACCAATGTCTTAAATGCTGAGCCACATGTTTCTGCATCATGCATTTCCTCAAAAGCTTTATCCAGACAATTTTTTTTTTGCTCTACTGTTGAGCTATATAAAGTTTGTACTGACAACATTTGGTGCTGTTCAAAGCATTTATTACAGTCGAGTCCGCCAAAGTCGACTTTGTTTAAGTCGAAAATTCGCGTCAGTCGAATTTTTGAAAAAGTCCCAATTCTTTCCTATGTGTTACTGTGTAAATTGTTTGTTTAATTCGAATTTTTATAAGTCGAATTTAGGCTATATCGACGGAATTTTCGGTCCGGATAGGCCGATTTTAAAGTAATTTCAACCACACAAGTCGAAGTTCCAAATTTAGTAATAGGAATGAGTTTGGGACTTAATAAAATGTTCGGTTTTGCGTGAAATTCGATTTTGTGGGCATTGTATTGTTCTATGTTAATATATTTTTTTTTGAAAATGTGCAAAATCTGTATAACTCGAACTTTTTATGCCAGTCCCATTAGATTCGACTTATGCGAACTCGACTGTATGATAAATTTCATGCATGACCGCATCACCGACAGTCGGAGCATCAAGTATGATTGAAGTTATACACATTATCAATTACAATGTTTGTTTCTAGTTCAATTTCTATAATGATTTGAAATAAATATTTTGTTTTGTAGGATGGATGGATGGCATTAATAAGTGCATCATTCACTGAAAATCCTCAAGTCGTTGATGTTTTGATTCAATGTGGCGCAAATCAAGATTTGAAAACTAATGTGAGTATATTTTACTTGATTTGTTTTATGAGAATTCACCAATTGCTTGATAGTATACATAATGTCAGTGCTACATAAATCATTTGGTATGGCACAGCAGGAACGGTTTGGTTCCTCAGCCTCGAGGTTTCAATTCCTCCCTGTGCATTTCACTTTTCGTCCTTTAGCAAGACACTATATCTGCTTTTCTCCACCTGGTACCTGGTTGGGTTGCCTGCCAATTCACTGATTACAAACAGCAACACTTAAACCATGTAGACCCAATGACCAGGGTAAACATTGTGCAAGGAAGAGGCGCATTAAAAATGCCTATACCATAAATTAAACACATAATTTATACTTTCAAAAAAATCATTACAGATAATTATTTATCTGTAATGCAAAAGTGTTATTCTTTTCTAACTTATCCAAATTTTGTATTGTTTTTTTGTTTGTTTTTAGTCTTTTAAAATATGTAATATGTTTTTGAATTGGTAACCAGCAGAGTTCCCCCTTATGGACCCTTAAATATTTTGTCTTTTATAAATTCATGGCTACAGCATCTGAACCAAAATTAAGCTTTCATCATTCTAATATTATCCTCATTGTAAATTATTAAAGTTACTTATCTTTCTTTATACTGTAGTGTTATCAAATTGCTTGCAAATTAAACCAGTGTATACAACAAACATTGTTGTACTTTCAATGTTTTTAATATAAGGCCTGTTTATACTTGCAAAGGTAATGATAAAATGCTAAAAAGCAATTGTTCATATAGAAAATAAGAAGTTTTTTTTATAATGATTTATTGTTATACCTACATTTTATCGTTTTCCCATTATTATGACGTCATTTGATTTGTGGAAAATATTTTTTTATCATATACACAAATGGGTACGATGTTGTTACACTTTCAGTATTTTATAGTTTTATCTTCATATTTTATAGAGTAGCATTCGGTCAGCAGGCAGATTGACTTGACTGACAGGTTCAAGAGATATTGAAGGATGGATAACACCAGAAGTAATTATTAATTAGAAGTAAGTATTGTAATTGTTAATCCTTAAAACTATTAAGTTTTTAAATGCTGAGCCACTTGTTTCTGCATCATGCATTTCCTCAAAAGCTTTTTCCAGACAATTTTTTTTTTGCTCTACTGTTGAGCTATATAAAGTTTGTACTGACAACATTTGGTGCTGTTCAAAGCATTTATTACAGTCGAGTCCGCCAAAGTCGACTTTGTTTAAGTCGAAAATTCGCGTCAGTTGAATTTTTGAAAAAGTTCCAATTCTTTCCTATGTGTTACTGTGTAAATTGTTTGTTTAATTTGAATTTTTATAAGTCGAATTTAGGCTATATCGACGGAATTTTCGGTCCGGATAGGCCGATTTTAAAGTAATTTCAACCACACAAGTTGAAGTTCCAAGTTTAGTAATTTATTTTTTTTTTTTTATTCGAAATTGTGCTGTGATGAATGTCTGTATTTACTTCAGAATTTCAGTCCATGGAGATATGTTTTTTCTTCATTTTGGGCAATACACCATCATTTAAATGACAGTTTGTTGCCCAAATTACAAGCCCTATATCATGCTTGCCATGTTACAACACGTAAATCACCATTCAGGAAAGTTCACTGTGAACTCGCCAAGAAGGGTCTGCACATTGATAAGTATTGTCTTGGGATATATTATAGTCAGGTTTTATTGAACTTGTGTTGATGTTGAATTTGTATAAAGTTAATAAATGTAGAATTTTCTTTAATAAATGAAAACATGTTATTAAGCAATTATTTAGAAAATAATAGAATTAATAGAAGTCCTATTTTTTATTGCTTAAATCTAATATCCATTTTTAAAATCTT